CTTAACATCTATGACAGCCCCACCAGTGGCTAAGAAAGCCCTTCCCAAAATAATTGGAACCTCTCTGTCTTCCTCATAGTCTAAAATTATAAAATCAGCAGGTAGAATGAATTTATCTACTTTCACCAAAACATTCTCTACTTTCCCTTCCGGATAAACTAGAGACCTATCAGCCAACTGTAATGTGACAGTGGTGGGATTAGGCTCTCCTACTTTCAGCTTTTTGTACACACTCAAAGGCATTAAGTTGATACTAGCAGCCTAAATCACACAATGCTCTGCCTATGTAGTGGTCTCCTATGGTACAAGGGATTGTAAAACTTCCTGGGTCTCCTAGTTTAGGAGGTATCTTACTAAGAAGATATTGACTGCTCTCTTGTGTAAGAGCAACAGTCTCAAACTCTTCTAGCCTCCTTTTTCTTGAAAGAATTTCTTTCATGAACTTTACATAAGAGGGCATTTGTTCCAATGCATCAACAAATGGAATGTTGACATGCAACTGTTTTAGGAGGTCTAGAAATTTCCTAAACTGATTATCTTGCTTCTGCTTTTGCAACCTTTGAGGAAAGGGTGGTGGAGGTCTTTTTGAAGCAGCAGGTGTCTCACTATTTGGCTTAGGGGTCAAACCCTTTTGAGTAGGTTTTTCAATGGAATTATTCCCTAAAGGCTCATCTATAGAGGGCTGAGTGTCTGATTCGACCAAAATGGGTGAAGAGTTATTGTGCACAACCCCTTGGGGGCTATTATGAACAACAGAATTCTGAACAGGTTCAGAATTTGCATCCTTTTCTTTCTGCATGTTCTCCCCTTCTTCTTTTTTTTTAATGTGGAAGGTCTAACCACAGCTTCTGGCTGATTTACAGATCTGCCATTTCTAAGCTCTATCATATTGCATTGCTCTTTATTTCTCCTAGGCTCTTCAGTGTTACTAGGCAAGGTACCAGGAGGTCTGGTATTCATAGTGTTTGCTAAATGGCCTAGTTGGGATTCTATGTTCCTTAGGGATGCTGGAATACTTTGCACAACAGCTTCCAAGCTGTTTTGCTTGGTCTCATTCTTAACCAAATATTCCCTTAACAAAGCTTCTAAAGAAGAGGATGGAGCAATAGGCATCTCACTAGGTTGAACAACAGCTTGCTGCCTTGAAGTTTGTTGGTAATTCTGGGTAGGAAAAGGTATTTTTGTTTGGGCATTAGAAGGACCAGCTTGCTGCCCCTGCCCTTGAAAATATTGAGGCTGTTGGTTCTGCCTCCATCCCTGGTTAAAGTTATTGGGAAAAATATTTTGGTTTCTATTTTGGTTTCCCACATAAAACACAGATTCTGGGTTGGATGGGCAGCTATCATACAAATGGGGCCCACCACAGCAAACACAAGTTACACTTGTGTTTATTGCATTAACTTGAGGTTGGGTCACAGGTATTTGAGGTGCAGGAACTTGGGATTGGGATAATCTTGCCTCAATGGTTTGTCCTTGGGTTCTCACTAAATTGGACAGTGCATCAAACTTGGCTGAAAGAGCTGTTACAGGGTCTATCTCATGTAAACCAGCCACTCTCCTTGGCTGATTTCTCTCTTCAGGCCATTGGGCATAATTTTGAGTCATTTGTTCTAACAACTCATGGGCTTGGTTAAAGGACATAGTCATAAACATGCCATTAGCAGCAGAATCTGCCAAGGCCCTGTTTTGAGTATTTAGGCCATTGTACAGGGTTTGTAACACTGCCCAAGAGGGCAAACCATGATTTGGGCATTGCAAGAAGGTTCTTGTACCTCTCCCACACATCCACTAGTGTCTCTCCATCCCTCTGCATGAAGTTAGCAATATCACCTCTAGTTTGCACTATCTTATTAGAGGGGAAAAATTTCATAATGAATTTCTCAGCAAGGGTGTGCCAATTGGTTATAGAGTTGGATGGAAGGGAGTTCAACCATTCTTTGGCTTTGTCAGCCAGTGAATGAGGGAAGAGCTTCAATCTTAACACATCATCCGAGATGTTAGGATTCCTAAAAGTGTTGGCCACTTCTATGAAATTTCTAAGGTGCTTGTGTGGGTCTTCCATCAACAACCCATGAAACTGCCCCATGTTTTGAAGCATGGTGAACATCACCGGTTCTAATTTGAAGGGCACTCCATTCACAGGTTGGGCGATGCTTGGATCTAACTCATCCAACACAGGTATGATGAAGTCCATCATGGACCTATCATTATCATTTATAACAGGTGGTTCCCTTATCCTTGCAGGTCCTCCTATCCCATCATTCCCATTTACACTTCCTAAATCCTCCATTTCTTCAATTTCTAGAAGTGGAATTTGCCTATGTGCTTTCTGGGCTCTTCTCCTAACTCTAAATGTCCTCTCAGGTTCAGGGTCAATTGAATATATGAACGGGTGTGGAGTTGCACTCATGCACCCCTTTTAACTAAAACAGGTAAACCTGACTTAGCTAAAACACCTAGATTACTAACCAACTTTTATGCAGAACAAGCAAAAAATAAACACACAAGAACCTGCAAGCAGAAAAGTCCCAAGACAGTTCACAGCCTGACGGCTTTATAAGGCAGTAATAACTCACCCTCACACAGGGTGGAACTAATAATTAAAATAAAAATGAAACTAAAAAAAAATTAAATGACATAAAATAAACAGAATATGAACAGAACAGATTTTAAACTACCAATATTCAAGATACTATAGAACTAATAACTAAACAAAACTGAAACAGAATTCAAATGAGCTACACTAAAAACAGAAGAAGCAGTTCAAAAATAGCAATCACACAGAAATCTGATCATATACGCCTCGATCCCCGGCAACGGCGCCAAAAACTTGTTGCCTTGCTAACAGTTGTGCAAGTAATGCGCGCAAGTATACGCGACAACAAGTAATATAGGGCTGTTATAAGTCCCAGTTATCGTTCCCACAAGGATCGTTGGCGTTTTGAAATGACTAAAATTTGTAATTGCTTAAAACTGAGTTACTATTTGAAAATAGAAGAAATAAAATTGTAAAGTAAAAATAATCTAGAATGGACCTAAAACACTACTGTTCACTTTTCTTTTAAAATTTTATGAATTACTTTCCTAAGTTATAAAATAAGAATGAAGAATTAAGCAACTTAAATGACAGATGTGACAAAAATTTTGAAAACAGAATACAGATTGAAATATGAAATAACAAAGGAAATTGGAAAATCTGAATTGATAAAGAGGTTTAAAAAGGTGGGTTGAGTTCTGGTTCTCCTTCCCCACAGTGCTTGAAAAATAATTTGATTAACAAAAAGCTCATCCTAAGATTCTCAGTTAACAGAACTGTATTGTTAATTTTAATCTCTTAAAAATTATTTTATCCCAAAGTTGCCCACTTCCATATCTCTATGCCAAGTGGGATTAGGACTCTTGAGACTCAGGTCCAATATTACATGAGGACTCATTCATTTCTGAATTGAGATCCCTTAGATGATTTCTCATCTAAGTCCATGTGTCTAATGCAGAATCCAGAATTAGTTGTTTCTCAACAACTAAATCCTAACCAAACCTCTGACATTCGGCCAAAATGCAGATAATTTTAAACATAAAAAAAAACATTAAACAACTGAGATATAACAATTAAAACCAGAAAATCAAAGATCTAACAAGCACTGAGGTTTGGGTATCACCAAAACCCAACCTCTAAAAAGTTAGCCACTATCCATATGGATGAGGCTTACACACAGTAACACAAAACTAAAGAAATTACAAAAAAGAAATGCTAGAAAATAATTTACAGCACTCGCCTAACAACCAGCAATTTCAGTGCTGTAAATGCATGTATCGAGTTCATCAGATGAACCAGAATCTCATTACAAAATAAAAATTAAAATAAAATAAAAATGGTGCAGAAAGCAAGAACTAAAAAAACGATAAATCAGAATCAGGAATGGGAAGAAGGGGCGCTTTGACTCACTCCTCTTTCCCTTTTTATAGGGTTCCTTTCCTTCTTTGCGCAATTTTCCTCTCCAGCTCAGCAGGTATACACGCGCTCCTTACGCGTTACACACCAGTGGTCCCCAATCGTTCCACAATCGCATCAGATATTCCAAATGCAATTTCGCTCCGCACTCGTAACAGCATCCACATCACTATTCTGTTGGTGTATGGCTTCTAGAACAATGGCTAAAGCAAGCTGTGTGGTCACAGATGGTTACAATAATCACACTTGGACTTTGATTTGAGTGGCTGGTGGTTTGTGTGGGTCTTTCAGAAAAATGATTCACGGCTTAGAGGAAGAGAGATTAGGAAATATGATGAGGGTGGGTTTGGTGTGCGGTTGTGGTTAGGTAGCGTAATGGGTTAGAGAGAGAGGAGATTAGGGTTTTCTTTCTGATCCCTTTAGCTTCCCTTTCCTTTAACTTGGGCCTTCCACCAAAAGATCCAGCCCAATTCCTCCTCCTATCTTCTTCTCTTCCTTTCCCTTTTTCTCTGGGCTTTAATATTTTAGGTCCGGCCCATCACTTTCTTTTTGCTTTTCCTTTTTCTGATGAATGTTAACACAATGGGCCTGTAAAATAACAAGTTTAAGCCCATTAGAATTTAAGCCCAACATAAATTTTTGGGGTATTTTAATCACAAACATCATTCATTTCTCACCAATTACACTCTAAACCATATGTTCTAAGTCTCATTTAAGAGACTTATTTTCTTATACTCAAACCAAAGAGTCAATGGTGAAGAGATTGGAAATGCAAGGAGCTTCATTTTCCCTTGTTTTGTTGTATCTTAGTATGTAAATCAGGAATCAGGATCACTAATTGCCAATATTTCCACGATTAGGATTTTATATTTATAGGATTAAGTATTATCCCACTAAGTTATATGTTGATGTACTATGAGTTCTGTTTGTATAATTTTCAATGTTGATCTCTAATGAGACCCATATTTTACGTCCATTGAAGAAGTTGGCCTGTGATTTTTAAGGCGTAGTCATATTGAAGGTTTGGTCAGTGATATGATACTTAAAAATGGCAGAAAATGTACAAGAAACACGGTCACTGGCCTTGACTCCTACATGGTCGGTTGCCACTGTGTTGACTATCTTCGTTGCTGTCTCTTTGCTTGTGGAGCGCTCCATTCACCGTTTAAGCAATGTAAGTATTGCTAGAATCTTTATTGAACTATGATTGTTGTTTATAGCAAATAAATTGCATGGAAAAAAATTGGAAGCTTGTTCTATTTTTAAGGAATTTTGCAAACTTAAGATACTTAGGAGCTGCTATCAGACTTGTTTATGAAATTGAGTGGAGGAAGGGCAGAGGTAAAAAAATGAAAAGAGAGGCACACGCCTGAAACCGGATTAGTCGGGTCCATTACGATTTTGGACAAGAAAAAAAGAAAAAAATATTTTGCCTAACAACTATTTAAATGTGGTAAGAAGCTTCATTTATGGGTTCAATGTATGTCTATAAGAAATTTATGTGGATCTGCATCAATTGGCATGGAAAGAAGCTCTCTCTTAAAATGCAATTACACGTACATGTATAGATTTATAATTTTCGTTTTTTGTTTAAAGCTTGATTTCTCTTAATCGTACATTTGTCTTACTTGTGACCAATTAGTAAATGAGCCGTTCTTTGTGGTCAACTTTTGTATGAATTCTGATGTGTGATTATGTTTTTTCTGTGGCTGCAGTGGCTGCGGAAAACTAATCGAAAACCCTTGCTTGCAGCTTTAGAGAAGATGAAAGAAGGTATCATGCATTAAGTTCTACTGGAAATCCTTTCCAATATAAACAAGAATTCTTTTTAATCTGTTTATCTTTTCTGACTTTTCTACTTTGTGCTAATCTTTTTTTGTTTGTGTCGCTTCTTATTGATCAATTCTCACTGTTTTGCAATTCTACCTTCAGAGTTGATGTTGCTTGGATTTATATCACTCCTATTAACAGCTACGTCCAGCATGATAGCCAATATTTGCATTCCATTGAAGTTCTACAATAGTGCTTTTTCTCCATGCTCTAGATCTGAGATTGATGAAGAAATGCAAGAGAATGACTCCAAAGAACGTAAATTATTGATGGCTTCTGCTTACCCACGCTTACTTAGGAGGATGTTGAATGGAATAAACAGAAACTCCTGCAGAGAGGCATGATGAATATACCTTGTATTAAATTTGATTATCATTAGCTTTTACTGCTCTATATCAATGTAGGTTAATTTTCAATTTGTCATGTTGCTCAGGGTTATGAACCATTTGTTTCGTATGAAGGTCTAGAGCAATTGCATCGATTCATTTTTGTCATGGCGGTAACACATATATCTTACAGTTGCCTAACAATGTTGTTAGCCATTGTGAAGGTGAGCTATTGTTTCCTATATGTAGATAAGCATTTGATTGCCACACATTTATCATTATTGCAAAGAATTAGCCATATATTAATTTCTGTTTCATAACATACTTGCCTTTGCATATTGAACAATATTGGAGTAATGATATAGAGTAGTTTGAATCATTCTTTAAAAAGGTAATTGATAATGTGTATTATATTTCTGCTGTTAATGAAGGACTACCATATATCTTTTTCATTTAACTTATAGATTTTGGAAAGATTTTGATGAACTTCTTTTGACTGAGTAAAATTAGGGAGAACTATGGGCCTGACATGGCATGGAAAAGGGTAAATAGATAGGTTATGCATTAAATAATTTCATGCAATATCAAAAAAGAAGTATAGAGAATATTATATTATTCAAAGTATAAGTACGGAGATTATGCCTATGAAAATTAATTAATCTATGAAAAGTATATTTTACTTTTAGTGTCAATGAGTATTCAATGCACTGTTCAATATTTCAAATTAATTTAAATTTACATTTGCATCAAGCAGAGATCTAATAGTATGAAACAATATCAAATTATCAATGATATATTTCCAAGTTTTATTTATTTAGGTGGCTCTTATATTGATGTAGGAGATAAAACATTCAGGGGTTACCATTTGGGTTTCTGTTTGACATAATAACACTATTAGTTTGAACCAGATTCACAGTTGGAGAGTGTGGGAGGATGAGGCTCACATGGATCGACACGATTCATTAAGTGGTAAGCTCAATACTTCATTATGTGCCTTTGATCATTAGCTATTTTCTATCTGTATTCTGTTATCCTGTTAGGTCCTTTGAAATGTTATTTTCACTTCTTTAATTGACTATACAAAGCATATAAATCAGGTTTGTTATACTATGATGCATCACTTCTCTCACTTATGTAGTTGTTGTATGACTAAAATTCAAAGTTGTGTTTGGTCCTCCTCTGTTGGGTATGTTTCACACTTTGCATTTGGTTGACAACATCTACTCCCCCAAAAGCACACAGGGTCCCGCTTCTTGGTGAGTGGGTGGGGGTCTAGGGGTTGCACCCCAGTCTGGGTGGAGGCCTTGTTTTTTTGAGCCTTGGGTTCTCTTTGTAGTTTGACTTGGGCCATGAATAACTATTGTAGCTTAATTTCTGTTTATGTAACAAAGTGATTGTAACAAGTGTTGTGAATATATAGTGAAAAACATATTGTTGGATGCAGTCCTACATTGGAGTGAACCAGGGTAAATTTGTGTCTCTTGTTTACTTAGATTTTGTGTGTACAATTGCCATATCCTCCCACCAATTCACTTTATTGATCCTGTTGAGCAATTATGTTAGTGGGCAGCTTTGTAATCAGGCCTCTCTTTTTAACTCTCTTCATTTTCTTAATGAATTCTTATACCATAAGAAAATATAATCATGAGATTACTTCTTTTGCAGCAATGATTTTACGCAAAATGCCATCAAGGAGTACAGATTTTTTTTTCCATTAACTTAAGACAATTTATTTAACCTTGCAGGAAGGAACCATTCAATTATTTAAAAAATAGATGGAAATATTGAGATATAAGTGTCACATCTTAAGCTTTTAGGGCAATTGATCCTTGACATGGTATTAAATCTTCCCATGACCTTGTTTTTAGTAGTTTGATTCTCGCCAAACCCATATCTTCATATGTAAATTAAATTTAGGTCTTGTGTACTGTCCATGCTTCAAACTCAAAAAGCTTGTGTGAGAAAATGTTAAAAAATGCATTTACCTCTATACAATTAGCTTAAGCTTTTAGGAGAATTGGTCATTGACTAAAATATGTGGTCATGTAATTCATATTGAAATCATATTTAGGAGTTGATTGGTCATTTCTTTTGTTGCAACAGAAATTACGAAAGAGTTGACAATGCAAAGGCAATCATCCTTTGTCAATCCTCATACGTCAAATCCATTGGTCAGAAACAGTTCCCACATTTGGGTGGTAATTACATATCTCATCCTGTTTCCTCATTTGGTTTCATTTCGTTTATGTTTGTTATATGGACGCCTGATATTGATTCCATGAAAGAAGGAAGATATGTAGAATATTTGAAATCAAAATATGCTGAAAAGAGTTTACCAACTTTGCATGGTTTACTTGGCTAAACGTCTTACTTTTTGATCAATTTTCTTTTCTAAACAAGTTATGCAAGAGGGCTTTTGTTGCAATGGTCAATTGAGTTGACTAAATCATTTGAAAAGTTTTATTGTTATGTTGAATCTTTTATTGTTACCTTACATTCCGTACCTCTCAATTTAGATATTTTAACCATCTAGTTCTGTGTCACAAGCATACATTTGTAAGAAGTCTTGAATTCAGTATATTTATATATCTATCTAATTTTAAGTTTAATCAAGTTGTAGACATGTTTTTTCCGACAATTTGGGCGTTCTGTGGTTCGTGCTGACTACCTTACGCTTCGCAAAGGCTTCATCGTGGTATGTAATAATGCAATAGAATTTGACTAAGGTCTAAATGGTTTTGATTCAAAAGTTACTTAATATGGTTCTTATATCATTGTGTATCTGCATGTTTTTTCCAAAGTTACATTGCTAATATATTATTTAAACTTTTTAATTCTCCATTTGAAAAGATGCATGAGCTATGTAATACCTGTAAACTTCTTTCTTTTCTTAAAAGAACTCCTGTTCTAAGTTCCCAGTGTGTATTACTGGTCTATTGGCTGGCCCTTAGAGGCTCATTTATGGGGTCACCCCCTGCCTCCCCAAAATGAGACTTTTAAACTCCACCACAGAGGATCTCTCACTCCCTGCATAGCTCACCTCTCACACATTAGGAGGTGCATTGCCTCACACACCACAGTGGGGCCTACTAGGCAAAACAGTTACAGCTCTCCATCTCTCATCATTAGGGAAATATTTCCCTATCTATATATTGCCCCTTAATCCATTGAAGGGGCGTCTTGCATCCATTATATTTATGAGTTCTTACTTTGCCAAAATATAAAGCGACTTGCCCATGACATCATCCCCTCTCTTAGTTTTCACTTGAGATATACACGGTGACTCCCTCACAGAGCTTTGGTCCATGCCACTGCCTCTAAGAGCACCATTACCGCGAGATACTTCACTGTATCAAGGGATATAGACCTAAGCTCATCACCCAAACAGTTCACGGTGGAAACTAAGCTTGCTTATTTAAAAAGAAGATACTTCATGCATTTGCTTAACAATAGTGTTCTACCTTTTGATTTCAAGTTTGTACGTTGCTTGAAGTGTCATTTATACTTTATAGCAATCCACCATAATACTTGTATGCCATGTTTCTTGGAACTACGTAGTGTGTAGTATGCACCACTACTTTGTGAATGTTTACTTATTTACTCAGTCTGTTTTCCTTGTTCATGGCAGAATCACAACATTTCATTAAAATATGATTTTCACAGCTATATGGTCCGATCTATGGAAGAGGAATTCCAAAGGATAGTTGGTGTGAGGTTAGTGGTAGTTGATGGATATTCTTCAGTGCACTATCTGTTTTGGACATCAATTTCTGTTCATATATCATAATAAGATCACTTGTGCACTTTTATGTTTTGTGCATGACCTTAATTTCTGAGGTACCAATGTTTTAATAAATTGTTGAACTAAAAACATCTATTCATTTACATTTAGTGTTTTAAGAGGAAGGTCCACTTTCTATTCCATATTCATACCAAATAATCTACATAAGGATGAAAGAGTATATTGTCTTAAATTTAAACATCTGTGACGTAATATTTTTCCTTGTAATATTGTTTGCTTTCATTTTTCACAAATTGATTCTCACGAAGAAGTTGAAAGCTGATTCTTTCTGTCTATAAAATCTCTTGCAGTGGCCCACTCTGGGGATTTGTTGTTGCTTTCATGCTTTTCAATATTAAAGGTATAGCTTATTGTGAGAAATCTTGTTGAAAAGTTAGTTTATCATTTTTTCCTTGATTTTAATAATATATTCGCTCCCTCCCCAGAAAAATCTCACTGTTATGGTCTTCTGCTTACTGTTAAAACTTATAATTAGGGATTTTTTGGGTCTATTACAGGATCTAATCTCTATTTCTGGATAGCTATCATTCCTGTATCTGTAAGTTATTTCCTTCCTTTCTTTCTAGTTATCCTATTTGGTCATGAAATGCTGTTTGGTGGATAACCTGAACATTTAACTTATGTTCCTGAACCATTTAGACATTGTTAATAGCATGTGGTGGTTGGTAGATTTTTCTTTGGAATTTGAATGGAACAGAATGCTTGTTGGTGAACCAGCATAAAAATGTGGTATATTTTTTATACGAAACATAAATTAGGTGCATAAATTATTGAAGGTAATCTACAATACAATCATTATTGTTGAGATATATAGTCCCACATTGGTTGTATGTGCAACTAATGTGGAGTTTATAAAGGCCTTGGGCACTCCCACCCTTTGAGCTAGCTTTTGGGGTGGTGTATCCCAAGGTTCTTTACATGGTATCAGAGCCTCGTGTCCCAAGTTCGATCCTCGCCGCCCCCCACTTTCTTTCAAGTGGAATTTCTTTGTTCGCACATGTAAGCTGGGCCTGTTGCATCATCCTCTTCAAGCCCAATGAGCTCTCGTGTGAGGGGGCGTGTTGAGATATATAGTCCCACATTGGTTGTATGTGCCAACTAATGTGGAGTTTATAAAGGCCTTGGGCACTCCCACCCTTTGAGCTAGCTTTTGGGGTGGTGTATCCCAAGGTTCTTTACAATTATGTTTGTTTGACTAATCACAATATATTTTTAATTTCATATGCATGATATGTCCATAGTGTGGGGAATTACAGTTGAAGATTATCCAAACCTTGCCTTCTTTTGTATTTCTCATATGGCCATATTTTCTGTTAACTGTGTCATGTTATTTCTTTTGTGGTCATGTTCATGGACAGCTTGTTCTTTTGGTGGGAACAAAGCTACAGCATGTTATCGCTACCTTGGTATTGGAGAATGCAGGAATTGCTGGTTTCATCCCAGAAGCAAAGTTGAGGCCTCGTGATGAGCTTTTCTGGTTTAAGAAGCCTGAACTTCTATTGTCCTTGATCCATTTCATTCTCTTCCAGGTTGGCCATGGTTCCTCTACATTTGGTGCAATTATTTCTTACTGAAACTTGTTATTTTCTTATTAACTTCTGATTCTTTTTTCTTTTTTTTTTGGTTTATTTGGCAGAATGCATTTGAATTGGCATCATTCTTTTGGTTCTGGGTACTTCCTTATCCATATTTTTTAAGTTTTCACTGAATCTTGAATTGTAAGAAAGATTCATATTGCTCAAAATCAAATTATCCAATAACGTAAGCAAGAAACTGTATAGGAAGTTCAAATAAAATATGATACAACTATATATTTGTGATATTGAATCATTATCTCCACTGAACAAGATAATGAACCACATGGAAAATATATAACATTTACACTTGCAGCTTTTAAATTTTTGTATTTGACTAAACTAGTAAAATGTCTTTTTTGACTGCAGTGGCAGTTCGGATATAATTCCTGCTTTATTAGGAATCACCTCCTCGTTTATTTAAGGCTAATCTTCGGGTATGCATTAATCAAGAGAGTTTTTTTTTTTTTTTTTCCAATTCAGGATTTTAAATAAGAGAATTCTTGTGTAAACTAAGTCAATAAATAACTAACGGGATTAGTGTTTCTCATATTATAGGAGATAATTTTATATCTTACATATACATAAAAGTATGTGGAACCTATCTTTTCTTTCGCTTTCTTTTCTCTTCACATGGGGTCCACATAATTTTACGTGTGTAGAAAATAAAATTATTTCTTACAATATAAGAAACATTAACCCCTTAACTAATACGTCATTATTTTGAATATAAAATAACTACTTAGCACAGAAGTTTATGCAATTATTTAAAGTAAAATGTCATGTTTAGATATTTATAGATTTAGTCTATACAAGAATTTCTAGTTAGTCAACCATGGGCCTTTTATCTTGTATTCAACTTTGTAGGTTTGCGGGACAGTTTCTTTGCAGCTACAGCACCTTGCCACTCTATGCACTCGTTACACAGGTAACCAAGACCTAGAAAAGGGAAATACAAGTTTATATCTGACTATATGACATGCTTTTAGTTTTGGAAGTCTCAAGTTATATAAATGGCATGCCTAATTCCAAGACTTCATTTAGACATGACTACTACTAACATGTTTGTTCACCGCACAATGGCTTTACTTTAGAATAATGAATAATCTGTCTCGTGTTGCTTGAGAAATGGAGTTGTTGCATTGAGTGAATCATTTTAGTGAAGGGATTTTGCTACTTTCATGTCTCATGCAATAACAGCTTTCCTATGTTTATTTCAGATGGGAACAAACTACAAGGCAGCATTAATACCACAGAGGATAAGAGAGACAATTCATGGATGGGGGAAAGCAGCTAGGAAGAAGAGAAGACATGGAATGTTCACTGATGACTCTACCATTCATACAGACACAAGCACTGTTTTGTCTATTGAAGAAGATGATCAGTTAATTGATATCCCTGGAAATGTCACTGACCTTGCCACAGGCACTGAAGTAGAATTGCAACCAGTTACAACTCTTGCATCTACCCCTTCACCTAATGCTAATGAAGCTTCAAGTAGGGCCGTTACACCCCTCCTTCGACCCTCTGCTTCAATATCTTCATCAGTACCATTCAGTTCTAGAATAGAAGCAATTTCAAGATGCTCCTCTATGCCAAGTGGAAGATAATTATGAGCAATGGAAGAAAATGATCTCAATGATGAAAATGAAACAAGTTATATGGTAAATTGGTAAAGTTGGCTTTTGTGTAATTATCAGAAGCTGTACAAGGATTAGTTCCCTTGAAAAGCTATGTAAGGTAACAATGCTTTTCGCCATAGCTAATATATGCGGGGACAATTGTAGAATGGGGAGACATTTGTCTCTTGATGCTAAGCTGTAACCTTGGAGTATGGACCAAGTATATTGTAAATTTAACCTTTTAGTTTTTGAAATGATGTAAAACTAAACTTAAAGAATGTGGACAACATATGGTAAAAGGTGATGGATGCTAACAGTGCAAACACATTTCTGCTGCCTCATTCAAAGGGACCATACATTTTTATTTACCATAGTCATTGTTGTAACTTTTGGCTGTTCAGTCTTTAGGAAATATAATTGTGTTGCAAGCTATAAAAAGTAAATAAAAAACTCCAAAACTGACACTTGATAAGCTACCACTATGAAGCTCTTACAATTCATCACAAGATGCAGCAGTTTTGAGAAAGATTATAACTATATAAGAACAAGCATTGAATTTGTTCTGTTTGTGCCCATAACATGATATCCTACCATAACCCATTTGTCAAAAAATAAAACTACTTAAAACGCTACCCTCCACGGGGAACCTTTGTCCAGCATTTTATATGACATATATACAAGGGGAAGAACAGAACTCAGGTGGCAAAAATAAGCACCTAAACAAAATTCTAAATCTTGAAGCTATGTTAAAAGTCATCACTGGGTCCTTGTGTAAGTCTCTGCATCTCATTTTGGTCTCTGAAAGTTTCAATGAGAAGGGGTGGAGCATATTGTGCTGTCCCATGCTCTTCAGAATCCTGGCAGAATGAGAGAATGATGGTGTCAATTGACATCTCTACAACCGCAAAGAAAAGAGTAGCAACAATATATCCAAGAGCCCAGCAAACCTGCATTACACAAAATAAAAAAAAAATGAGGTTCTGATAATCATTTACAATTCAACATTAAAGGGTGAATTAGTATACTTTTCTTTCTTTTTTTGCAACTATTTTCCAGCTCTTCATCCTTTTAACTAACAAGCTATCCATTATGATAAAGTTGAATGCATAAAGTTAATCTTTCACTCAGTGGTGCAGAGCCACAGATTTAAGTGCTCAAGGGGAAAGAAAAACACCTTCTGTAAATAACTGTAGGCTACAACACATTGACTAATGTAAGACCAAAATGGTTTTGAATCAACATCAGCTTATTTGAAAACTATGAATAATAATGAATCATTTATCTGGAACTGAAAACTATAAAGTTCATATAATAGAACACATTATAATATTTTACCAACTATTCATCTAGATGAGAATCTACACTTTTTACCCATTAAAAAGTGAACTACCATCTTTTATGCTTTTGTTAAACCGTAGTTGATCTTCAAGCCCTACTCTTTTAATTAGATTATAGAAAACATACCATGACAGGCAAGAGCGGAGATGAGATCTTGTTATGCGCATCTCTGTACTTGTGTGTTTCCAACATGATGAAAGCAAAAACAGCACTTGAGAGGCTGACACACAGTTTTCCAAGAAACAAAATAACATCTCCAATCACATTGACACGCCCAATCCGTAGGATGTTATTCATGATCAACTCTGTTGCAATAACTGAAGCTTTAAAGAAACTTTTACCAGTTATAGCAATCTGCAGGTTTCAAGCAGATACTTGAGTAGTTAAATGCAGAAAGACATAAAATATGAAAGCAAATTGAATTAACAGAAAAGGATGACACATTGAATTAAGTAAAAAAATTATGTAAAAGCAATATACTAAGTAAAATTAGAAAGACTCATTGAACATAAGTAACTAAATTCTAAAATAATACTCTCCAAGAAAAGTTTAAAGCAAATTCATGTTTTAGGGAAGGGGGTTTGACAGGAAACATTTGAATGCCACAAGTATAGATAGATGGTAAAAATTAATACTTAGTAGATAATTTTTTAGTAAGCCTCAACTCTATTTGTCATCACTCTTCTATTCTTTATCCAGAAATATACCCACATTTTCTCTATGCAACTTGTGCTAGAACACTCCTCTGGTAACTGGATAACAACTAGCCATTCTCTGATGTTCAAGTGCCCAAAAGGACATGACAGGAAGTTTATTGAGAAAAGAGAGAAAAAGTTGAGTTTAGGTTAATCATGAAAGTCTATATACTATTTAACATGTCAACCTTTTTTTGGAAAAAATGTTTTGTCCCCTATTTTGAAGTATACTTTACAGAGATCCATATGCAATCCAGCCTCACCCAAACTTGCTGATCACAAGGCAAAAAGTACATTAAAACGGGATCTTCCTTCTATTAGTCCTTAATATATCCTTATTTGTTACAAGAATAATTGCTCCAAAATAATAAGCATATATCTAACCGCATGATGCATGCATAAATGATTTGTGGCACATCAACAAAATTTTACCATGATGTAAGCATTTCGGTTCACTGATTTGATGGTCCACTCAATACACCTAAGAAAACATTGAGAAGATTGGTATGCAGCCTTGCCAATCCAGCTGTCAGGCATGTGACTGGAGACTTTTAGTTTACGGCGTATAGATTCAAGTAGAAAATGGATTGATTCTACAAATGATACAGTCAGAGAGCCAAGAGCCACAGAACCTAGACTGTAACGCATAAGCCTCTTCATGAAGGAAACGACTGAAAGAAAAGGAATTTCTGGCTGCATTGAGAAAGATGAATTATATTTAATAACATATATAGATATTTTTAACTATCAAAAGATAATTGTTTAATTAATTGATAATACAATTCAAATCAGCGAAACAAACAAGTACCAACAGTTTTCCATTTTAATCTGAATTCGATATTTTAAGATTATGAAGCATGCAATCTAGTTAACCCCAAAATAACTAGATAAAATGATAGTCATATTTTAACAATTTATAATCCTACACTGGTACAACTTATACTGATCAAGAAGAATTTCTGAGCCAAATAGAAAACCATGCCCCTGCAAAGGCTGGGATACATATCATTCAATCTTATCAAAGTTCAGTAGTCTTATCTGCATAAAACTCTCCCTGAATCCTGTGAACTATGGAAAAAAATGTTCTATGAATTGTATTATTCATTTCATCTATGAACAAAGTGTTTTGACTTACAGATGCTTCGCCACGGGCCCAATAATAAGATGCAACAGATCCAGCAATCACAGTTGATGAGCTTGCTATGAAAAATTGTGTTGCCCAATAAAACCCAAATAGGTGAAAAAGGATGGCAACTCCAATATGTGGTGTGTAACGAATGCTGTAACCACAACAATGATCACAGATCACCTTTTTCTCCATGAGATCATATGCACAGCAGTTAGAGTTGCAGTTATTCTGAACAACCTGACCAGAGCTGAACAAATGGAGACCAGAAGAAATCCAGAACATGTAGAACACAGCGAGGATACCATATGGTATGATCGGAAAAATAATAAGTGCTTTAACTTCTCCTATCACTTTTGCAGCAACCTGTTAGCAATATTTGCATTAAAATCAATTTAATTGATTAACTGTCATAATGGAAAGAATGCAGTATCATCATTTCACAGTACCACATTATGTGCCTATGGGCTAGGTAGGTATGTGTAACAAATTTCTCGAAGAGAAGTTATGAGTAACTTTGTGACAACTAGATGTGAAAACAATTAAGGTTAGATAGAGGAATAGGTCACAGGAGTTATGAAATATATATTCCATATGCAAGACATATAACACATATCAACAATGAAAATGCTATGGTTTACAACAAATAGCACTGTCGGAGACGAGGATAAAAGGTTAAGCATCCACTCGTTGAATAGTTAAACAAGAACAATGGCCGGTCAAACCAGTATGACCAGAGTTCGATTAAGCTGTGTATTGCAGCCAGGTGCAAAATTAGCTGTACCTTTAAAATAAATTTTTTTCCTAGAAAGGGGTGCACATGTACTCCAATTGCTCAATCTTAGCAGTCAGCGCTCAGTACTCATGGGGTAGGAACACTTTATAAGATAAGCTGAGTTTACCCAGCTGCGCACATATTTCTCTTGACATTGGATTCGTATTTTCTCTTAATTACTGTAAAGAACCTTGGGATACGCCACCCCAAAAGCTAGCTCAAAAGGAGAGAGTGCCCAAGGCCTTATAAACTCCACATTAGTTGCACATACAACCAATGTGAGACTATATATCTCAACACGCCCCCTCACGCAAGAGCCCATGGGTGGTGTATCCCAAGGTTCTTTACAAACTCCACATTAGTTGCACATACAACCAATGTGAGACTATATATCTCAACAATTACTTCAACCACAATTTAAAAAAATAAAATAATGATAGAAAAAGAGGATTTTTTCAACATTATTGTAACAAAAACTATTTATTTTGTTTTTTTGACACTAAATAATGCTCATTGATTTTTAGGGTAAAATACACATTACCCTCTTATACTTACATCCTTTTTCAATTAAACCCCCCCCCCCCCCCCAAACAACAACAAAAACAAGGTTCTCTCAACTTAGGTTTAATTTGAAAGCATTTTTTCAGTTAACTTTAACAGAAGTTATTGTTTATTTTTGTTGAGATATATAAAATCATTAATTTAATCTCACCCAATAGCTTAAGCTTTTGGGTTGAATTGGTTCTTTACATGGTATCATAGCCTCAGTGTACCGGGTTCGATCCTCGCCACCTCCCACTTCCTTTCTAGTGGAATCTCTTTCTTCGCATAGGTAGGTGGGCCTATGCATTGTCCACTCTTCAAGCCCAGTGGGCTCTCGTGTGAGGGGGCGTGTTGAGATATATAAAATCATTAATTTAACCTCACCCAATAGCTTAAGCTTTTGGGTTGAATTGGTTCTTTATAATTTTACACGTTAGCTTCTAGTGGTCTAACACTTAACCTACCCCATAAAAGTTTATTTTTTATCACCAAACCTCCTACAAAAGATAAACTTTACGAGTATAGATTCAGAAAGTTAAATTGCTGTTGAAGTTAGCTGGAAAGAACTTGAACCACAGTTCGGATGCAAAGAAAAAAGAAAAAAAACTTGAGGGGGTTAATTGAAAAAGTAGAGATAGGTAATGTGTAATTTACCCCAATTTTTGTTTTTTTACCCTTCTTCTGCTATATTCACCAACTTTATGACAAGAGTAAGCAGATGTATAAATTACTTAAGAGGTTATTAAAAATGCATGACAAATTTGACAATGATTGGGAGTTCAACCTCTGACAAATATTTTTAAGGTTAAAAAATATACATAATTACGATAAGAAATAAATCAATGAACAAAAACAACAAACTTAATCATAGTTTTATATTTGCATATAATAAAGTTATGCTTGCCTTAAGGACAGAAGTTGCCATAAGGATGCGCCGAACAATAGCAATTGATGTAAGAATGGAAACAACCATGATAAAGGTCATAGTGACAGTGACAACACGTAGATGAGTCAGCTCCTGAAAAGGAAACCAGTTCGTAAGATTTACAAGATAAAATCATCAACACAAAGAGAGAGAGAGAGAGAGATCACAGATTTAATCACTCAGTCACAACGATACTTACCCTCCCAAATATATGAATGTAAGGATCATGCTCACCAATAATGGGGGAAATAGCATCATTTCCTATCCATCCAACTGAAAGTCAGGAAGACAACATTAACTCAGCTTTATTGTTTGATTGATGTTTGCTCAAAATCTAGAAAAAGATAAATAAAAATATTTGGCTAGATAATTCAAAGTTATATAGAAAGGTATAATAGGTTTCAACTAGAATCAGCAAAGTATACTGTATGTATCAAGTTATACACATTCAGCCATTCAATATTTCTTATTTGACAATCCGTACGTACACCATGCATGCAAACAAATTATTTTCACTGTTTCCAATGCCCAAAATGCATAAAAGAACAAGGATAAGATCTAGATCATTTTCAAGTCCCAAAGAATGACTCCTCTATCAAAATACAAACTCAAAAGAATTCAAAAATTAAACCATATCATCAAACAATTTTTGACATTCCAAATTCCAATATTTAGTAAAAGAAAATACATTACAACCAAAATGTTCAGTGCTTTCGAAATGGCCCCTGCCTCATGCCATAAGTCATATATTTTACCAAAAACATGTCTGGAACAAAGCTTGTGTCTGGCCCAGAAGTTCGTTTTCAATTTTTATTCTAAATTGTTACAAACAGGTCGGTTAAGTGTCTAACAATAGGTTTGCAGTAAGTGTCAAACTTAACACGAAACCAGAGAAGTGTTGTGTGCTACTGTGCTTGATTGGATATATGAGAGGATGCAAATGTATAGTTGATGCAAGGGTATTTATTAAAATGGTAATCTCAAAAATGAATAGGCCATGCGGCTGACAAGGAATCAAACGTCAAATACATAGAAAGGAAGAATGAAATATACAATAAAAAAGGAGTATTCACATTTTGGTCGTCTTCTGTCTAGTGGTATTTCCTTAAAAATACATTTGGTTCACAATTAGCCTGCCAGAGACCCTAACCTTTTAGGTAGTAGAGCATTGTTACTGATACTATTAGAACATTAAAGAAAAACACCGTTATCCAAGGCATTGCAGCAACAAAATGCCGAATCATCAGCAGCCAAATCACAGACAGAAACAGAGGTAAAATCCCTCCACAAACAATCAGCACAGGCCATGCCTTTCCTATGTCGGCCATGTATCTCTGCAAATAAAAGTGATTGTGAAACATCAAAATTCTACAGCACATAATACACATAATGTTTAGCGACAGGGCATATGAAATAGTAAAAGCAAAGTTTCAAACAAGTATACTTAAGAGTGAAAATACAAGAAGTGAAGGAAAGGATAAGTAAAAATAGTCAACATATTCTATTAATTGCATTTTTACCCTTACCAAGAACATTATGAAGTATCAATTAGTTAGGGGTTTGTTATAAAAGGTTTAACAAAAACAAGGACTTAAAAACTTTAAATAGTGTGCTGCTTTGCTGTCCTAGCAGTATATCATTTTTGCGGAATGTTCATATTAGGGGTGCTTCCTTGGGTTGGGTTCTCCAAAATTGATCTCAGGTCAGGTTTCCACCAAATAAGAGTTAGAGAAGAAGACACACATAAAACAGCCTTTCAAACTCATGATAGGCATTATGAATACCTAGTTATGTCATTTGGTCTCATGAATGCTCCATCCAATTTCCAATCAACTGTGAATTATGTTTTCCGACCCCTACTTAGATGACATGCACTAAACTTTTTTTTATTATATCTTGATATATATAGCCCTTCTGAGAGACAGCATCTAGCTCATTTAGGAAAAGTTTAGCGATACAAAATTCGCTTTGTTACCGTGAAAAGTGTCTTTTTGGTCAACAATTAATGGAGTACTTAGCCCATATTATCTCTTCAACCGGACCATGGATCCTTCCAGGGTTCAATGTGTATTGGATTAGCCAGTGCCTAGTAACTCCAAAGGGGTGCATGGATTCGTAGGTCTTATGGGGTATTATAGGCGTTTTATTAAGGACCGTGGAAAAATAGCCCAACCACTTACAGAACTGACAAAGAAGATGGGATATCATGGAACGACAAGGACCAAAGGGCCTTCAATACACTGAAACATCACCTCATTTCTTCTCCTGTATTGGCCTTGCCTGATTTTTCAAAAGAATTAATCATCGAATGTGATGCTTCATGGGTGAGGAGGAGTTTAGATGCAAGATAGACCTTTAGCTTATTTTAGCAATGTCTTGGCTTCCAGCAACCTTTCCAGGTCTATATGAGAAGGAAGTTATGGCATTGATCTTGGTGGTTCATGTAAAGAACCTTGGGATACACCACCCCAAAAGCTAGCTCAAAGGGTGAGAGTGCCCAAGGTCTTATAAACTCCACATTAGTTGCACATACAACCAATGTGGGACTATATATCTCAACACGCCCTCTCACACAAGAGCCCATTGGGCTTGAAGAGTGGAAGATGGAACAGGCCCAGCCTACCTGTGCTAAGAAACTCCACAAGAGAAAGTGGGGGACGGCGAGGCTCTGATACCATGTAAAGAACCTTGGGATACACCACCCCAAAAGCTAGCTCAAAGGGTGGGAGTGTCCAAGGTCTTATAAACTCCACATTAGTTGCACATACAACCAATGTGGGACTATATATCTCAACAGTTCAGCATTGGAGACACTATTTATTGGGAAGGCCATTCAAGGTGTAAACAGACCATAGAAGCCTCAAACACCTGTTACAGCGAAGAGTCACCACTACTGCTCAACACTGTTGGTTATTTAAGTTGATGGAATATCAATTGGAAGTGGTGTGCAAGTCAGGTCCTGAATATAAAGCAACGGATGCCCTATACCAAATTGAAGAATATAACGCGTTGCCTTCTATTTGCATTAGTCCTTATTGGGTGGATTTCGCTAAGGTGAAGGAAGAGGTCTTAGCTGATCCAGAATTAGTGAAAGCCATAGATATGCTGAAGGACGATCCCAATGCTATATCAGAATGCTTGCTGCAATAAGATTTGCTTTTCTACAAGGGCCGATTGGCAATCTCGCAGCAATCTTCCCACATTGCTACAAGAATTCCATTCCACTCCTATCGGAGGACATTCGGGTTTTGCTCGAACCTACAAGCAAATAGCTAGGAGTTTATTTTGGAAAGATATAAGGAAGCAGATTTCGCTAGTCGGGGTTTAACAGGGAGCGGAATTTTATTTTTATAAGGAAGCAGATTATGCACTTTGTTCAATTATGTGATGTCTGCCAACAACACAAATATCGGGCTCTTGCTCCTGCGTTTACTGCAGCCACTTCCCACCCCTAACCTTATATGGGAAGAGGTTACCATGGACTTCGTTACTGGTCTGCCTGAAACCCAAGGGTATGAAGATATCATAGCTGTGGTAGACAGATTGTCAAAGTATTGTTGCTGAGAATTTTGTAAAAGAAGTGGTACGATTGTATGGTTTTCCAAGTGCAATTGCGAGTGATAGTGACCCTTTGTTCCTTCGCAATTTCTGGAAAGAGATGTTTCGCCTTCAAGGGACTATTTTGAAGACGAGTATGTCCTATCATCTTCAGACTGGTGGCCAAAATGAGGTGGTTAACTGTTGAATGGAGACTTATTTGAGATGTTTTTCTTTAGAACAGCCTAAACAGTAGGCATTGGGACTTTTTTGGCTGAATTTTGATACAATACCACTTTCCACTCCACTACCAAGACCACTCCCTCTGAAGCTGTATATCGCTTCCCTACACCAGCAATCAGGCACCACCTTGCTGGTGAGACTTTAGTAGACTAGTAGCTAAGATTCTAAGTGAGAGAGATGAAGTTCTCGGGCAGCTAAAATTCAACTTATCACAGGCACAACAAACTATGAAGAGCGGTGTTGATACTTATAGGAGGGAAGTCCTGGGTTCTCTGTCAAACTTCACCCACATAGGCAGATTTCTGCGGCAAAAAGATCATTCCTAAGTTGTCAGCCCGCTACTATGGTCCCTTTTGAATCTTAGCTAGCATGGGAGAATTGACCTACAAACTGCTAATAGCAGCAACTGCAGGCGTTCATCCAATTTTTCACGTTTGACAACTTAAAAAGACCATCGGAAACCATCCAGTGGAGTCTGAATTGCCTTATGGCTGGGAGGTTGACGACCACACCCCTGTCAAACCTGAGGCAATCTTGGCTTCACGTGAGACCAATTTCCAAAAGATCACGTGCTGATCCTTTGGAAATCTGAACCGAAAGAAGAGGCCAATTGGAAAGAGTGTAGCATCCGAGGCCAACTCCCAAATGTCTTCCATGAGGACAAGACAGCTTTTAAGGGTGGCATTGTTGATGGAAATAAGGATCCAAAAGCTAGGCACAAGGTCCTATAGGTTTATTCCCATTGGCCCAAACTAAATTAGCAAGAGTGCTAAAAGTGTGTGAGTGTGGGAGGGAGTTAGTTACAATAGAAAATGAATCTGTTGTAAGAGGGGAGTCACGCAGAGGGCATTATGTCACTTTTCTGTTTTTGTGGCTAAAAGCTTGGGCCTAGGATATTTCTCCATAGCTGGGAGCTCTTGCTCTGATTTTCTGTATATCTTTTTCCTGTTTCTTGCTGAATATACCAGCCTCCATTTGAAAGATAGGATTCAATCCTATCACCCACAAACTTACTTCCTTTAATTATCTATTTCTTGTATTAGAAGTTAAAACTAACAAGCTGATAAAGCAACATGCATATAATATAGAATGTTGAAGTTAATTGTTTATTGTTTCCCCGAGCAATATCACAGTTTGTAACAACAATTTAAAAAAAAAAAAAGTAGAATGTTGAAAAAAAAATTAACCTTCAATACAGCTGACCGAGCATTGATATAATTGTGAATGGACATATCAATAACAATGTCCTCATTGATGTTAACTCCACCCATCTGCTGCCAATGCTTTAAAGACACATTTGATGCTTGAGCAATGAATTGGCAACTCCAGTAAACTAGACAAAAAAAACATGCTTTAAGAATCAGATATTTTGTAAACTGTCAATATAAGGATATATACAGTTCCCTAAACACCATCTCCCCCTTCCCCCCATGGCATAAAAAAAAGAAAGAAAACATAAAAACATTGCCTTTCTTACAAGGAGCACGGTTTGCAACCAGGACCAGAAAGTAAAGTAATGCATCCACACAACACAACCATTAGTAGGCATAAAACAAAACATGACATTTACGAATGCAATGGAACATAAAAGTTTTCTCACCATTTACACTAGGAAATATGACAGGATAACAAGGACCCTGAAGTTGAAGAGAGGAGTTTCTCATTTCTGGAGTAAGGAACTCAAAATAATTGTAGTTCATATCAATCCAATCATCCATTGAAACACGAATATCTCCTTCAGGATAATCACACACCCAACTAAGTGAATCTCCAGGAGGCATGGGGCAATCCAACAAGCATATACTGCGAGCATTGGCGAGTTTGAATTGGCTATCCTTCAATCCACTTTGATAAACCTGATTAGGATTTAGCCAGTATCTGAGCTCCAATTCACGAAGCCCAGCATGCTTGTCCCCACACACATTTCCTTTGTAATCCAGTCCATAAGTAAGCCTAGTAAGTCATAGTATCAATGATTACAAATTACACAACCATAACAACAAAAGGGAGAATAAAATTACTAGCTTCATATTACTATACAATCAACTCCCACTTCTTACTTTCAAGACTTTAAGTTCCTCAGCAACCAAACAAATAACAATATTAGTGCACAGGGGGAAAACGAATAATGAAAGATCCAATAAACATAGGATCTTAAATAAAAATTATGTGACACTTTACTTTAATGAGAATTTCGCGCTATTTGAAGCATACAAACACCCATTTGCTGAGCAAAAAATATTTGTGGTAGATTTGTTGAATAAGTATACTAATTAAAGATACAGAAAATAAAGAGAAAAGAAAAGGGACAACAGAAAATCTAAGACTGCAAGGAAGACAAAAACAAAAAAACAAAAAACAACAAGGAAATATTCACCAAAAACAAAAAAACAAAAAAGCAAAAGGAAATGCATAAATTGTTAAAAGTTAAACATACATTACAAGCTTTATAAAAGAAGCCCGTTGAGATATAGAATCTCATGCCTTAAATCCACGCTTAAAAACTAAAACTTTATTATCCAAAAAAACTAAAACTTGCAAATTACAGAAACTCCATCAACACAATGCACAATCAGAAAAAGTTGGAGACTTTTAAGATTCTCACCTTAATGGGTTACCTTGGTTGAAAGCAAAGCTAGAGTTAACAATCATGGCTATCCAGAAGGCAATAAAGATGACAAGAACAGCTATGTCACTGCATTTCCTGTTATGCCTTATGATCCCACCCATATGGGTAGTTCCATCACTTGATGGATATCTCCCAATGACTGCACCCAAAGGACCCCTCATTTTCAAGCTTGAAGAATCTCTACTGAGAAATAACAAACTTAGCTCAGTTCAACATTCTAAGGACTCACAAACTCACTTTGCAGAAGAGATGCAGACATCAGAACAAAAAGGTACAACAAAGTGGAGTACAAGGTATGAGGAAAGGGTTTTAGTTTAGATTTTAAAATAATATAAATATTTTATTCCTTGCTAGGAGTAGGACAAAAATATTGTCTTGAGTGTTTTTTTTAGTTAAAGAAAAAAAAAAGAAAAAAGAATTCTTGTCTTGTGGCACACTTCACAAGCACATCTGAGCTGAGCTGTTTCTGGCTCTTGAAAAAGAAAATTATGGAACTGAAGCATGGTGCATTAATTCACACCAATTTTCAACACATTCTCAATAATAGAGAAGTAAATAATTATTTTTTTAAAGTACAATATGATACAAATTTCAAATGCAGAGGAATAAATTAGTGTCTGGTTGGGTTAATAATATTTTATAATTTTTTTTATTCATTATTGTTAACTTTAACTATTTTGTTATGAAAAATAAATTAAAGTATATAAACTGAAAGTATGAATTTGAGACTGTAATAAAATCATGTGATAAAATAATAAATACTTAAAACATAGATATGAAATGGCTCTTACCCTTTTTTAGACAAATCCTATTTCATAATTGTTAATGCTTTGATCCATAAGCATGGGTCTCTTTGTATAGTAAATAATAATAATAATAATATGTTAGACTTAAGTATAAATCAATATTTATTCTTAAAGTATTTGAACAAATTATTCTCACATAACAATTTTCATATCTAATGTTGAAGAATTAAGAGATATTATGATTACGATTACGATTACGGTGAGAAACTGAGAATAAGTTAGGTCACATTACGATTTGATTCATATTTCACCTAAGTTTGCCTAAACTTGTTTGTTAAATAAGTAAGAAGAAAAGATTTTTAGCATTTTTATTTTGTAGAAAATTTAGAGATATCCTTACTCAACCTCCTTCGGCTACTGATATCGGAATATGGCTCTAAGGGCATGTTTGGTACACAGTATAAGATAAAGTTTGATAGTATAAGACCTGATAGTATAAAATATGATAAGGTCTGATTAAATTTTAATATTATCCAGCGTATGACATAATATTGTATAAGATAATATATTGTAAAAGATAATATCATTCAATGTTTGGTAATGTATAGTATAATACTAGATAGGATAAAAATAAATATTTTTGACAAAAATACTTTTTAATAATAAATTTATAGAATTCTTCGAAATATATCAGATGATATTAATTTGTATAGAAATTTGTTACTTAGTGTATCCAAAAAATATATTAATTTTTATGAAAATAAAAATTTCCAATATTTTAAAAATTTATATATTGAAAAATTATTTTTAATTTTAATATATTAATATTAAAATAATATATTATTTCTTGAAAATTGCATTGATTAATACATCAATTCCTTATCAGACTTAATTCAAGCCTCTCAAGCCATTAAGTTATACATCATGTTGATATATAAAGAGATCATGTTGTATAAGCTTATACTATACGATGGTTATACCAAACAACTAACAGTGTCCTGTGATATTATAGTATAATATAAGTGTATCGTTTGGTTCTGTGAGCCCACTATGTACCCTTTGAGGGTAATGTTGTTATATGGATGATACCTCTAGCTAAGGTAATGACCAGGCTAGAAGGTATTATTCCAAGAACAAGCAAGCAGATATCAATGGTAGACAAATAGTATGGGTATGACTTAAGAATAAATGGGCGTAAATACAGTACATAAAAGATATCCTTCCTGTTGTGCCCATGAGGGCTATTTATAAGGAAAATGGTGCGGGTTTGTGAGGTGGGGGTTAGCCCTTCTTGGGATGTGTCCCCCTGATGGCAGTGTTAGGCGCGGTTGGCGCTGCCACGATTGACAGCAACCGTAGGATGGTGCCAAGTTAAATGCTTTGGGCGTTACCTTTAGTGCGATCACCTCGATTGATATCGGAAGAGTGACAGTTTGTCTCTAGCTCCTCCCAGGGTATTTTGGGTTTTTGCTCTTCTGGAATTTCTGGCGTTTTACTTGGGCGTCCTTCGAGAGGGAAACTACTACAAAGCCCCTCATCGCCGTGGCGCCAGGAGCCCCCAGCCTGGTGACGAGCATAGGCTAGTGCCGAGGCAGGTAGGATTTGGCGACGCCTTGTTTGGCGATGTGAAATATTTGAACATGGGCGATTCCTTTTGGTGATTGTTGTAACAAGGTTATTGATGACGATGATTGGTGGGTGACACCTAGTGAAAAGGTTGCCGCTTCTGGCACTTTAGGAGGCTTTTCAGTTTTCGAGGAGTCGTAATGATGAGTTTTCCCATCATTACTATTTATTGCAGGCATCCAAGCGTCACAGGGTTCGGCGCATTAATGCGGCGCGACTGGTGACCTGTCCTTTGAAGTGACCATTTTGCCCCCTTTTCTCAACCGCCCGTTGCACGATGGCTGTGTCATCGTACGGTCAAGTGAGGAGGACTTACACGTGTCTGTGCGAGACCTTCTCTTGTCCTTTTGAAATGACCACTTTGCCCCATTTTCTCAACCGCCCGTTGCACGATGGCTGTGTCATCGTACGGTTAAGTGAGGAAGACTTACACGTGTCTGTGCGAGACCTTCTCTTGTCCTTTTGAAATGACCACTTTCCCCCTTTTCTCAACCGCCCGTTGCACGATGGCTGTGTCATCGTACGGTTAAGTGAGGAGGACTTACACGTCTGTGCGAGACCTTCCTCCTCCTCTTTCTGTATAAAAGGGGGAGACCCCTTGTTGGGGTTCTTCCTCACGCGAAACCTACCATGTTGCGCTTTTACTCAAAGCCTTTGTTTCCTATCCTCAGTTCAGTGTGATAGTGCCGGTCTTCTTTCTCTCCTTTTCTGCAATTCTCAGGTATAGTCCTTCTTCTCTTGTTGTTTCTATTCTTGTTTCTGGTTGTCTTGTACTCCTTTTTTCTGCTGTATTGATGGTTGGGTTTACAGAACCTATCCCTGGTCTCATACTTCCTGAACCGGAAGTAGAAATTAAGGAAGAGGAGTTTGATGAAGCCTTTGAGGCACTAGGGGATAGTGCAGTGGGGCCAACAATGCGAGAGTATCTGGCTAGTCGCGCCCCAAGTCGTCCTTTAATTCTTGGGGTTGAGAAGTTGCCCCATGGGAAAGTACCCGAACTTTTGGGCTTTAGTGAGGTGGAGATTCAAAAGTTCCTTCCCGAAAGAGCTTTAGGTCCTGTGCTTCCGTATGCTGGTGAGGCGTCATGTTCTAATCCCGGTAGTGGGAACCACGGGTTAGTTGGTGAGGAGAGTTCCAGATCTGGTGGGCGTTCGCCTGCCGGCTCTAAGAGGCGAAAGGTTGCTTCACGTCGTCGTGTTTCGCGGTGTTCTGATCTCGGAACTGGGCGATTAATTCGACCCGTATCCAACATCAACCGGCAGCGACAAAACCGTTTTTTAGAGTATTATTTCCACCCTCGCCCTTCTTCTGTTGCCCTTCGAACGTCTCATGGTCAAATTCCTCCCATCCCCAAATCTTTCCATCGTCGTATGTATGATGAGTCCACAGAGAACCGTTTAGGTAGATATCACCTGGAGGATGGTCGCCTTATAAGGAATGGCGTGTGGGACGCCATTTTTGAAGACATAGGGCTTTATAAGATACCGCCTGCTTGGTGGCCTTCTAACCTGAGCTATTCAGATTTTTATTCAACTTCATCAGACACCTCGGATTCTGATGGTGAGTTAACTGTGTTATATTTTTCTTTTTTCTTTCGTTGTGCTTGACGTGGGGGGTGTTGGAGGTGACAGGAGTGTTGATAGGGTGAGTTGGACTATCCCGTTTCCTTTTGCAATGGTCTTCTTGGCGTCAGTGAAGTTTAGAGGACTGATTGTGTGTTTGTCGCTCCTAGGTAGGACTTTAAAAGACTTTCCAGACTTATGGCGACTGTTCCGTCAGACGATGGTCTCGGGGCGCGGGAATGGGTTGATCCCGTGGTGGCCACAACCTCTTCAAGCTATTCTGACAAGGGTATCTTACGCAGCCACTATAAAGGTGAACCCAGCTTTAGCATAACTGAAAATGGTGCACACGAGGCGAAGTGGCAACCGGTCGCGGTCGATGCTGATCGTCGGGCCTATGACGCGCCTCTTATGGCGTTCCGATCACGATGGCGATTTATACTGTACAAAACTCACTTTACTGATCAGAAAGTGAGGTTTCCGCTGTCCGAGTTTGAGATGGAGGTGTTATCTCACTTACAGGTCGCGCCTTCGCAACTGCATCCCAATGCTTGGGCGTTTGTCAGAGTTTTCGAGAGTATATGCAAGTATTTCGATATGGCCTACTCTGTACGATCATTCTTCTACTATTTTCAAGTGTCGCCATCCAAGAAGACGAAGCTCAGCTGGGTTTCATTGAAGGCGGGCAATGCGATTGGATCAATATTTGCCCAATACGCCAACTCTTATAAGAATTGGACGCGTACCTTCTTTTGGATTGAACCAGTGTTGGGCGAGGGCGAGCTCCCTTTCTTTGTTGATCCGTCGAGTGGGGAGTGTCGGTTCCCCTATACTGGACTAAGGCTCATTACGAGACGCCAGCCGGTCAGTACTCATTTGCTCTAGGGGTCCTGTCATTTGGGGAGGTACATGCGATCAATTGGTTTTTGGAAGTGAAAGAGGGGTCTTGACCGGTGGCCCACGAAGCAAGTGTTGTGCCATGGAGGTGTGGTGGCGTTAGTGTTGTTTTTATTTGTGGCGATCTATATTGTTGTTTCTTGTGTTTACTCTTTCTTGTGTTTGTGCTGACTTGTCTTGTTGTTTGTAGTTGGAAGCATGGGGACCGATGCGTTGAAGATTGTGCGTGATGCAACAGCTAAAGTGAGGGCCAAGCAGGGTGTGGCGCCTCAGACTCAGACCATCCTCCCTTCTAAAAGGAAGAGCTTGGACAAGGGGAAAGGCAAAGAG